ATCTCCGGAACCTTTTTTGGGGGTTCGGTAAAAAACCGATTTTTTTTTAGAGTGTACGATTTCAAAAAGTGAGGAAAAGTTTCATAGGTTAGTTTAAGAAAAAAGTTAGATTGCATTAAACTAATAAAATTTTTAAATATAGTAGAAGAGTTCAAAATTTTCATTTTGACAGCTCTATAATAAGAAAATTTTGAAACGTTTTTTTTTGTTATTTATAGGGAAAATGCATGAAAATAATTAGTTGAACTTACTACGAGACATCTAGAAAGGTGCTAGTAATTACAATAGCGATAGATCGAAAAAAAGTCAACAGTTTTGTAAGAAAAATGAATAAAAGAAAAAAACTGTTTATGTACTGATAGAGAAGGGTGAAAGACAGTTATATAGCGACTCGTTTTCCACCTATTTTTGTTTTATTTTTAACAGGAATCTTTTGCTTGTCTTCTGCTTTTAAAGCGTTGCACAGTTCTTGAGCTAGATCATTTTGTATTTTATGATCAATATCGTAGTTTTCTCCGCAAGCATTTATTTGAATGAGCGAAAGTAGTTACTGGAAACAAAGAAAATATCTAATAATTTATATTTTGATATATCCGATGAAAATGATGACATTTGTAGGATTCAAACAACTATAGAAGAGAAATAGAACATTGCTATTTTTCTTCTAGATGACGTTATTATTAGTTACTAGGAGAACGAATTTTAATTATTGTCAATGTTAAGCATACTGAAGAAATACGCGTATATGAAGGTTGATATCATATAGAATTCAGGCATTTGCTAATAAACAATATATTATTATGATGCATTCACTTATCTGAAGTAAGTCAAAATAATCAAGCGGCATCAAATTAGTTGACGTATCGTGTATGTAGTGGATTGTGGAAGTGAAAGTGATGCGTGCTATGATTTATTAAACATGTATTAACGAGCGAAATTTCGGTTGATAATAAATTCTTCTGAAGATGTTCATAAAGTCTCTATAATAGACTTACTTTGACTTTCTCTAAAGTTACTCAATGTATTTTCAGTATAAAATGAGATATATTTAGTATCTCATAATTGAATCGACCCTCATGAATTTCATACGTATATAAAATATATTGTACAGATTATCACTCGTTCAGTATTCAAGGATATTCGCCATGTTATTAATATTATTTTGATCAAGCACTTCGTTCATACGACTTTTTATTGTTTAAAATTAGATATCTTCATTTTTTATATTTCGATATGATTTTTTTCGTTTCATTTAATTTTTCTTTTGTTTTCTATTGTTATACGGAATGTGATCTTATTATTCAAATATATTTTACGGTTGTTCATAATTTAAATTCATTAGGATTAGTGAAATAGAGTGTAAATTTAAGTTACGAAAAATTTATGCAAAATATAAATACATAGTACTGCATTAGTTACTTTTTTTTCAGTTCGATTCGCGATTCTACAATTATATATATATATATAATTTATTTTAATTTAAATTTGTATTTATTAAATAAGAGTTATATGTGCGCAGTATTATTTGTTACTCAAATATAAATATTTTTCTTCGTGATGAATATTCATTTATTTTAGTACTATCGATAATGTTTTATGTTTATTTCTTGATGAGATGTGTTCAGATTTTAACAATTACTTCATCTAAAAAAGGTAAAATACTTTTCACTAAAAAATCATTCAGTAAACATAGTGTTTAAGATACTTTCAAGAGGTGATGGATTTTCTTTAACTATTGAAATATCACTAATTATACCAGTTATTTCGCTATACGTAAAGTTTACGGTTAAAGAAATAATATTGTTGAAATTATTTTCATCATTTGTACCATCATTGCTTTCTATGAAATCAGAAGTTTTTTCTGATAATATAAGCATTAATAACGGTTTTGTAATTTTTAAATCGTATTGTTCATTATTAAAAGTCGAAATTGTAATTTTAAAGTAGTTGTCAGTTATGTTTTCGTCTTTTATTAAGCGAGAATGGCAATCAATACAGACAGTTATTCCTGCTTCATCAATTACGTTTGTACCACCACAACATTGACATGTATAATGATTGTTATATTTGTCTATAGACATAATTTTTCCTTTTTGTGTATTGTATCTATTTATACTATTATCAACTTGACTGATTACATTTGTTGGATCTTTAATTTTAATAAATCTTACAAATAAATAAAAGAACATCATTACATAAAATTTTATAGGTTTCAATACATACGATGTTTCTGTTGTAGCAGCTAATGATATTTGTTCATTATAGATTCGTATTTTTAATAATCGAATATGATATGATTTTCCCAATTCTATTTCATTAAAATGATTTTCCCACATAGTCATTTCTAATGCTCCAGTCGCATCACCAATAATAATTTTGTTTTTACTTTTTTGCACGCGTTTAAATTGATTTTCTTCAAAAACAACTGCAATTTCATCACTAATAGAACAGATTTGTGCTTCAACTGTACATAATCGATCGTTTATTTCATTTTTTAAAATATTGATATTTTTGACACGAATACATTCAGGTCGAAAGTTCAGGTCTTTATCAATCACCTTTGTAGACATTGTACAAGTATATTCATCATTTTGCTCACGTAACGAAGTAATTGAAGCTCCTCGGCCACTTCGAAGCGATTCTTTTAATCGATTATGTAACGAACAATATGGAACTTTAGATAAATATTTGACAACTCGAACTGTTGATTGATCTTCAATAGATGCAATGAATGAATAATGATGATTATCATTTGTATTGTTTTTTGTAATTTTGTTAATATGAACAATATACGCATCTAAGGAAACTAAAGCTGATGAAGGTAATGTATTATTCTTATCAGTAATTGTGCGTTTCATATTATTAAAAATCGTTGGATTAAAAAGAGAAAACTTAAACGAATGCACTAGAACGATTGCGCCTTTTAATATTTACTACCATTTTAATGACTTATTATTGATTTTGAATAAATTTTAGTAATGGCTTTGCAATTTTTAAATTTTTTTTTCTGTTCTTAATGTGGTAATGTTATTTAAAAAGACATTTTTTTCAAAATATTTAAATTAATGCAAGCATTAATTTATCATGAAAATGAGTGAAAAATATTAAAATCATAAAATACATCAACTTTTGTCGCTTTAGTATAGAATTAATTCGCAGTAGGGTTCACAAATTTCTTAATTTCAGCAGGTGAGTACTAGTTTTTGTAATTCTCTTCTTGTCAAAAAATCTCTTGATATCAGGAAGTGTCTTTTGAAAGTTTCCCTTGTATTCTGTTTTTTTGTAGTTTTTTTTCTCGTCTCTATCCTTAACGAGTAATTTAGCTAACTAGAAAATAAGATCGATTAAATAGAATTTTTATCAAATTAGATTAAGCCAATAATCAATAAGAGAATAAAATTGTTCTTCTTTTCTTTTCTATTCTTATATCTAACGACAAAGTGTTTCATTTCCTAGATAAAGATAATGTAAGAGTTTTTTTAAATACAAAAAGAACAAGAAGACAGTGATTTAAAGAAAATTGGCCTGAAACAGATGATGCTTGTTAGTGACATTCGATATCGGTTTGAAAAATGTGCGATGGTCAATATCACTTGAACATGCAAATAATGTTCATTCACTATTATTTGAGAATAGTTCTAAATTGAAAACTGCTTTGTCATGATCATCTGGTATAATCAATCAACTTTTGATATGTAAATTCAAGGAAGAATGGTTATTCAGTATGATATGTTCTGATTTTGTAACAGAATATAAAAGTGACAAACAAAAATATTATGTTTTATTTTTTTTATTTTCTGTTAGGAAATTCTATTAGCAGTTTTTTATTACACGACGGTAAGAACTTTCTATGCGAAAAAAAACATCAGCAATGACTTTTTGTTTTTGAAGAATAATCTCCTGATTCTTATCGTAATTTAAGAAAAAACCTTCGGATGAATTCCTAGTTTGTTTTGGGAAAGGTTCTGAAATTTTAGAAATACAGATTTCGCAACCGTGATTCGTATTTTAATAATAGTTCTATCGTGTGTTCTGATGAAGAAATTAGAGTATTAGCAATGAGTGTCTAAAAAAAAATACATTTTTTGTATTGATTGTACCATATTTTTTCATGTCTTAATGTATATGTTTGTATCGTGTTCGATATATGAAAGTAACACAACGATTAAATTCATGATCGTTTTGTCAATTTTATGTTTTTATATTTGAAAAAAAATTTTAAGAAATATTTCATGGGAATTCATATACCCTTGATTATTGTAGATCATGAAATAGGCTTTTAGTTAATAAATTGCTATTGTGGTGCAATGCAACAAATTTTTTTGAAAGACTTTATCCATATTGAAATGAATTGATTCCTATTTTAGTTTGTGTTTAGTCCACAGAATTCTATATAGGTTTGTTTTCAGTAATATGTATTTGGAAGCAATATTTACAAGTGGTCTAAGTTTTTTTTTAAATGTCTTTTATTATAAAAGGAAAAGAATTTAATTACGATTGCTTTTTTTTTCACGTAATATCTACCATTATTAGGTTAAATCATAGTATTTTTTTTCGTGTTTGTTTTTAGTGAGAAAAAGAAATTTAAATTAATCAAATCATGATAGAAAACTACACTGAGACACAGCATTATGGTTTAAATAGTTGAAAAGGAATTTTGTGAAACAGCTTAAAGTTTTTGGCTGTCATTATCTTTTCAGTTTTATAAAAAAATAACATTGAATAGGAATTTTGAATGTATAAATAAACGTGATCGATATTTTTAAAAACTTATGTTGATATATTGTGTTATGTATTAGTAAATTTTAAAAGTTAAAATATGTAATATAAGTGCCAATTATTTATTGTATACAATTTTAGATCGAATCTAATTTGAACATTAGAGTCACTGATACTGTCTACGATGACTTTATCATAATAGAATGTCGATAACAGTAACAGATTTTTTGAATTTCTCCTCATTATTGTTGAATGTTAATTTATGTCTGCTAGCTGTCTAATTTACTACTTAATGGCGGTAAATTCAAAAGAGAAATTTTCACATTCTTATATTTGTTTGTAAATCTATTATTTTTTATAAGTAAAAAAATATTCGTTCACAATATTAAGTTGATTATTTTTTTGGTGGAAGCCGATTCTTTTTATTTTAACTAAACTGTAATAAACGTTACATTTTATTCATTTGGATCGTGAACAAATTGTTACTATTAATAATATGGAAGATTTTGATTAACTATCAATGAACTTTCAACAATTTTTCGAACAACAAAGAACAACAAACATTTTGAGCAAATGTACCAATTTATGTACAGAATATCCCAGTTTCTTTAAACTTTCTAATGGTGCGCTGACTATGTCTAATTCATTTATTAAATGGCCTACCGTGATACATAGTGGTTTTAGTTCAGAAAGTATTAGACAAGCAACGAAGTATATTGATATACCTGAATACAAAGTTTTTTGTCGACTTATCTCGTACAATATGCCAATATATTCAACAAATCAACCATTGTACAATGTTTTTAAAAGTAAAGCATTATTAACACCAAGAGAACTACATCCTATAGAACTACAAATATTCAATATTCATTCATTATCAAATGAATTACCTAAATTTGTTAAATCATTTGATCAATTCGTTAATAATTTGAATGATCTTTTTTACTTTTATTGGTATGTCGATTAAATTAAATGATTCATTAAATAAGCATAGTTGTATTATTCGATACACAGAAACCTATATCTTGATGGAATTTTATTGTTTCAGGAGTAAAGACTAATTTTCTCGATTTCATTTCTAATGTTTCAGTTCAAATTTAGTGTAGAATAAAGAATCATAAACACTCAAAAGTCGTAAAAAGCTCGGGTCGTTGCCTTCTGAAAACGATTTTTGATTGTTTTGAAAAATTTTACAACCATCTCAGGATATTTATCAGAAAAATCAAATACAACAAATTTAACCAACAATGTCGACGACACATATCTTTTGCGAGTTTTAGAACATCGTAAAGAAATTCTACAGCCAAAATATTTATTTTCATCGAGCTATTTGATGTGTTAGTGAACTACTTTTTATTAAATGCTCTTAGGAATGATTATATCTTGAGGGTAATAAATATCGACGCAGAATTATACTTCCCATATAGAATTCTCGAGGTATTCTAAGACTCGCAAGAGATATCTGTTGTCAACATTATGAGTTAAATCTGTCGTATTTGCTTGTTGATGAATATTATGAGACGATTGTAGAATTTTCCAAAATGATTAGAAATTATTTTCATAAGATAACGATCCAGAACGTCTTTAACACATTTTTATATTAACGAAACTTTGGTATCAATTTCATAGCCAGTTCAACGTTGAGTATTAATTTGGAGTAGTTCCTTTGTGAGATACAAAAATAAACATAGTTTTAGCCTAGCAAAAAGAAAATATATATTCGAAGTGTTATTCAAATTCAAATGACTTTACAACTATAATTATTTTTTTATGTTCAAATCTCCTTTCATTTAGCATGTGTGCGATTTTCTATATTTTCTTTTTTTTTTTGTCTGTGAAATGCTAGTTGGTATCATCTTATTGTTTGTTCAAGATTTCATATTGCTGGTGGATGCTTGTTAACATGCCTTATTGAAAATACTACTTTATCACCTGGTCAAGATATTGATTTATTTTATAAAGGCATCTCATACGATGATTATTTAAATTCTGTTGTAAGTTAGATTTTTTTTATTTTGTTAATGATATTTATTAATATAACACTAGTACAATACAGAAACAAAATTGCGACAATATTTTTATGTTAAACGAATAAAGAATGGTGGACAACAAATTATTAATTTACGATTGTTTATGAATAGAACAATTCAAGATCTTCTTCAACAAAAACAATTTGTTGATCTTCAATTTATTTTTATTAAATCATATTATACATCAGATCAAGTGATAACAAATTTTGATATTGATGCAACACAGTTTACATTTAATGGTGAAAGTTTACAAGGTACAATGGCAGCTATAGAATCGATACGAACATCAACTATTATAAATTATACACTCAATAATGATGACAAGGATAATGCACGTATTGCTATTAGAATCGGAAAATATGTTAAACATGGTTTTAAATTGTTAGCTCCAATTCATTTCAATTTCAAATGATTCGAAACATCACCAACACATATTAGCAATCGAAATATTTCATCACACATAGAACAACGTAATGCTATTCAACACGAATCTAATTTAGAATCATCACTTCAGGAATATAATAATACAATTGACTATGAATATCCATATATAGTATTCAGTAGAAATTATGATTGCTTTTATGTTCAGAATAGTTTTTGCTTAAAAATATTATTTGCAAATGAATAAGAAATCGAAACTATACTTTTAATTTCAATGTAAAAAATAAACCAAAATTTACTGATACAGTATGCTAGAATCACTCAATAATTAAAATTTAAAACAAATACGATAATTAAAACTTTTTTTTTACTATAGTCTCATGCATTTGAAAGAACTGAAAAGTGAATGTGTCTTTATTTCTATTATATTTAAAATAATTGAATTTCGACTTTGAGATAGGTACAAAAATAATTATTTATGGGGTAGATGGTGTGATCGTCGTGATGCTCGATATCGTCATTTTTGTTCTGGCACTTGTAGCATATACGTGGATTTATCAGTTTGTCGCCTTCGTTCTCGATAACGGCGTACATATTTTCTATTGAGTCTTGCAAGGTGCTGTTTACGCATTAACAAAACTTGATCAATCATATCATTTAATAACGAAACAATGATAATTTCTGACGTTTGTTGTTCAATATCAGAAATATTATTAGTATGATTCATTGTAGGTTAATGTGATAAAAATGAAGAAACAATATAAAATGAACTTAATGGCGCATAAGTAACAATAGATATTTTTTTGTTGCTGTTCAATTTTTTTTTCTGAACGATCTAAACTGTTATGAAATTTTTCATCGTACTACTGAAACATTGAATAAGGAAGAAAATTTAAAAAAAAATGATAATTTTTTTTTTAAAAACACTTATGTAATTAATAAGAGCATCTGTATATTCAATGCAATGCATTTCTTTCTATTCAGAGTAGTACGAGATTGAATGGCTACGTAGTGCTAGATGTATTGTTTTTTTTTTGAAGAATCTAATAGATTCATATACGTATTTTGTGAAACTATATGATATTATTAATTAAAAAGTCGATGTGTTTCAAATCAGGAGGAAGATAAAGATAAAAGGAAAAAGAAACTTATAGTAGAATTGTCAAATTTGTATTATTAAAAATGTTTAATTGCTAAATAAAATTATATTTATTTAATGTTAAAATATCAGTAGTGTCAAACTTGAAAGTTGAATTCAACTATTCAACTATTAGTTCAACTATTCAATTATTGAATAGTTGAAGTTTCAACTATTCAACTATTCAACTATTCAACTATTCATTTATTGAATAATTGAAGTTTCAACTATTCAACTATTCAACTATTCAATTATTGAATAATTGAAGTTTCAACTATTCAACTATTCAAAGTATATGATGATCTCCAGGGTTCTCTGTCACGGTCTGTGATGGTCTCTAGGGTTCTCTGCCACGGTCTGTGATGATCTCCGAGGTTCTCTGTCACAGTCTCTGATGGTCTCCTGGGTTCTCTGTCACAGTCTCTGATGGTCTCCTGGATTCTCTGTCACGGTCTGTGATGGTCTCCTGGGTTCTCTGTCACAGTCTGTAATGGTGTCTAGGGTTCTCTGTCACGGTCTGTGATGATTTCTAGGGTTCTCTGTCACGGTCTGTAATGGTCTCCGATGTTCTCTGTCATGGGCTGTGATAGTCTCTAGAGCTCTCTATCACTGTCTGTGATGGGTATGAATTTTCTCTGTCCCGGTCTGTGGGTGGCGGGAGCGAGTGGATCCAAAATTTCTACCTTATACACTTCAAAAACTTATTGATTCATATTCAGAATTTCAAGCTGAATCTAATGGTATAATTTTTATTTCGATCGAACAAATTGTTATAGAGTAATTGTTTACGAAATGATGCAGGGTTAGAAAAAAATGACCTGGCGACATCTTCACCTTGCAAATCTATGTAGTCTTTCATTTTACAATATTTTTTAAATATTTATACATCAATCGATTCATCATGTGATAGTGAAAAAAGTTACGTAGGATTTTTGAAAAATTTTGTTTCATTGCTGAGAAAAGGCACCAACACTAATTGACTATTTTGTGAGGAAAAAGCGACTGCCATCGGTCATTAGCTTTTTTTTCGCAATTGAATGTGGTCGACAGATATTTTTAAAAAATCGTTGTATACTTAATAGGATTGATATTTCAAGCCTTCTAATGTGTCTAGAGTCTCTTTTTTCTACTCGCAGTGGAAGTAAATACGCTATATAACCATATACTGAGTTCGTATATTCTGCTTACCAAACGCACGATTATACGTGATCACACGTTTTTTTATTGCTCATTTGTTTTAATGTTTTTAATAGTTTTTCTTTATTAATCATGTCTCCTGAATCGAAAAGACGAAAGCAAGCGTGGGTTGCTTTATTGCGCCGTTATAAACGTAAAAAAGAACAATTTTCATATGATGAAAGGCATTATGAGCCAGCATCAATGGCTATAGAAGAAGATGAAAAACATGATGATTTCATTCTGTCAGATGAAGATGACGATGATTCGATAATGGATGTAATTGACTTCAAATCAAGACTAGATTTGTGCAGCATTGGTGATATATTTGAATTATGCAAACTTGGATGCGGCTCACATAAACTAGTAATGACAGTCTCTCTTGAAAGTTTTAGTTGATCACATGTTCATAGAATGAAACATAAAAGTATTTTAATGCACATTTTCGAATTACGAACTAAATTAGTTGAGTCGAAAAACCTTTAAAAAAAGTTTAAAAAATCCGAAAAAAATTAAAACTGGACAATCCAAAAAAAAATATAAAATACAAAATCAAACAAAAATTTAATAGACGAAATAGAACTATACTAGAACTGAAACTTGAACTAATATTTCTATCACTTCTCAATGTACGTTTGGCTTCACGTGCCAGAAAAGATTAACATGTGTCTATTGTTAAGAAAAGGTCTCATGGCTAAGCAGCGTACAACCGGAAATTTTGTTCCAGGACTCTTTATATTCTATCAAAGGATCACCTAGTGATTTCCTATTCCACCTCATTGAATAGAGAACGATTTTTTAAAATATTTGTCGACCACATTCAATTGCGAAAAAATGCTAATGACCGATGGCAGTCGCTTTTTCCTCATAAAATAGTCAATTAGTGTTGGTGCCTTTTCTCAGCAATGAAACAAAATTTTTCAAAAATCCTACGTAACTTTTTTCACTATCACATGATGAATCGATTGATGTATAAATATTTAAAAAATATCGTAAAATGAAAGACTACATAGATTTGCAAGGTGTAGATGTCGCCAGGTCATTTTTTTCTAACCCTGCATCATTTCGTAAACAATTACTCTATAACAATTTGTTCGATCGAAATAAAAATTATACCATTAGATTCAGCTTGAAATTCTGAATATGAATCAATAAGTTTCAGAAAGAAATAACGAAGATATGAGCGAAAAAAATCTTATTTTTCTGAACGGTACCTATTGATCGGTTTTTTCAGATTTTCACAGTATTTTGACGTTTTTTCCCCAAAAATATGCTCAAAATACAAAAAATCATACATATTCAGATTCAGCTCCACGAGCTCTATCTAACTATGTATAAAACAAAAAAACTTTTTTTTTATGCTACACTTTTGCATTTGGTGGATCTTAATTACTAGTAAGTATTATAAAGTGAGCGTCACCTGGCTCAATTTCGATCAGATATAGTGAGAAACAGATTTTGATGTTCACTCCAAAATTTTGTAGCTCTAATTCGTACACTAATAAAATGCCATAATTTTATCAGTTTCATCCGGATGTTGTCTGAATACAGCGATTAGATTTTATCGCTTTAAATTAAATTACATGGAAGAACAATAGTGTGAAGGACGAACATGAACGTATATCGCTTCTTCATTATGTGTTATGAATGTAAACAATAGATATTGCTGGAGGACTTTTTCTTGGCTGAGATCCATACGAACCTCAGGTGGATGGATCAAAGTTAAATCTACATTAGACATGAACATTACGTACGTTAATTGTAAATAATGACCAATTTTTATGGTTCTTCTCTGTTGGATCTTAGAAAGTTTTGAATCATAAAAATAACATCAATTAACAGCTAGCATTATGTTCAGTGACGTTTGTGGAAAAGTTTTTCAGTTATCTTAGTACCAACCTCATATTTGCTTCTGTAAATTTCAACGATAGTTTAGATAGTTTCTGGGAAATAACTGGAAATGTTATTTGTTAGTTTGCTTTTCGAAAATTTTTCCAATATCTTTCTTTAGGTAAATGAAATATGATAGTATTAATATCTTTTTATTAGTTGAGAAACTAGATAAATATTAGTAGTCGATTAGATTTGTGAAGCGATTGTTCTAATGCAACATATAAAAAATACTTATATGATTCACGGTTAATCTAAACTAATTAGTTATGAAGTAATTAAGTTTATATGCTGACCTGATAGTATATAATCTAAAGATTTTGAAACTATAACAATAGTTATTCATATTTACATAAGAAAACTTCTTTTAAATATTTTTATGAGATCTTTTAAACTAGAACGCAATAATTCCAGAAAAATTTTATATGAAAGATACGACTAAGGAAATATATTTTATGACGATTTCATACGAATTTGAAGAGCCGAAGTATTAAATGAGAATTGTGAATTGATAACTATCTAATAAAACTAGATTTAGGATGGCTTTGATTAATAGTTGTTGTTTTATCCACTAAAATATAGTTATTCTAATTTCGAAAGCAGCACTAGTGAAGACAAATATATATCATTTCAGATGTAAACTCGAAGTTGTCGTAAGATATGGTAGATCATCACTATAGATTGTCTTTAGCAACAATGATCTGCATGTATGTCATCCTTGAGCTTTGTCAACTTTACTTAACAAAATCGAAACTGAATCAACAATTAAGCTAATTAAAATTTCTAACAAATAAGAAAAAGTTTTGTTCTAAAGTAGAGCATGACAA